CCCCAAAACCCCAAAACCCCAAAACCCCATCACTAAAAATTCCATAATTTAAAGAGGGTAACAGAAAAAATCAAATTAAGAAGTAATAGTAAAATATTAATGTGTTTAAAGCAAAATATAATAACTATCAAACTAATGAATTTTTATAAGAAATTTAAGAAATTCTCAAGTTCGAAGGTTAATTTGATACTCTCAATAATTTATAGCTTTTTTTACTTTAATTATTTCTCTCGTATTTTAATTTTTATACCTCATAGTAAGAGATCTTGCTGAATTTCAGAGTCTATCATGTTTTTTGCATTTATTATCAATGATTTATAAAATTCCCTAATAATCATTAGAAATAGAGTCAGATTAAAATATCCCCGAGTCTGAGTCCTGCTCTTTGATCTCAGAAAAAGATTCTATTAATATTGGGTCCTTCATTTAATTTGGAAATATATTGATTTGAGCTTTTTATATTAAGGCAGAGACTTATTCTAAATCTTTTTTATTGGTAATCAATTCCTTCTTAATCTATTGTTCTTGTTAATAATCTAAAACCTGGTTTAATGCTCTTCTTGCTGAATGTTATACATATGGCAGAAATTATTATTTCATTTTCAGTTTATCGTTTATAGTTTTACTGACAAGGCCTCCTGACATATACTTAGCAGGAGGAAAATTTTCTTCAATTTATTTGGTTTCATTGATACTAAATAATGAAACGCTTTCCAATGAGTCTAAGAATGAATCAATTTCCATCTTTATTTCTGATGAGTACTTCATTTGTTAATTTTGAATTTTTCTCTTTTTTTATTCAAAATAAGAGTCATCATATTAATCAAGTCTAGAATCAAACTCACTTATCTCTGAAAGTTAAGGAGGTTGGTTTTTTTAATTAATTTTTTATGATTTCATGAAGTAATCGTCTAATTACTATTTAATTGAATTTGTTTCATTTTTCTATTTCTCTCTGTAAAGAGTGTTTGAATTGCACGAGCTTATTTATGTTTCTAAAGTATTCTGTGTTTTAATACTGTTTGGAGTACATATTTTCTCATTATATAATAGCTATCTAATGTACTCTTTTGTATCATTTGCCTAAAATGTTTGAGACTATTTAAACTATTATTAAAGAGGGATGCTATTTTCTTAAGATTATATTTACTACATCTAATTCGAAGAAGAATCAGAATACTTATTTTTCATCAGTTCAGAAATTTCTGAAAGATTTTGAGCAACACCCTTGAATGAATCAAATGGTTTCTTTAATTATTATTTTTCTCTAAACTACTTCTATGGTTTATCGCTTTATTTTAGATTATTCCGGAAGCTAATCTTCTTAATTGGCTATATTTTTTATTTGTTAATTCTACTAATGCAGCACATTTTTCCAAAATCCGGTCTTCTTAGAGTTTCTTCTCTTTTGGTATTACTGTATATCATATATTTATAATCTAAAATTTTATTAATAATTATTGCCAAATTTAATAAACATTATATATACTTCAACAAGGCTTAATATTACACTTACTAATTATAACTTCGATGAACTTAGATTAATTCAATCATTTCAAGCCTTGCGTATCAATTGACTAATCCGTACAGACAAACATTTAATCTTCTCTCTATTTATATATTCTACTGAATGTTTTTATATTTTTTAAGAATTATAATATCGATGATTTCATTATCATGGGGTTTTGGGGTTTTGGGGTTTTGGGG